AATATTGCAATTTGAATTGAACTATTAAATGCGCCCGTCTAGCGATGGCACCGCTGCAATCGATAAGTCAAACATTGAAATTTGATGTAAAACGATAAGTACATATGGGCAAATCGACAAAACAAAAATACAAACAGTTAGTCTAAAACAAAATGTCTAGCATTGATTTTTAAACTATTTATTTAAAATAAAACACTGCGAAATTTATAGTCAATTATTTATTGATGTGCAGCTCAGCAACGGATCAAAGCGCAACACAAATATCGATAGCATCGATATACAAAACATTGTGAGTCAACGGTCTAATTAGAGGTCTTTGTTTACTTGCTATTCCAGCTATTCCAGGCCAAATTCTAAAGCGAAAAACCCTAGTTTAGTTGCAATTTTGATTTTGACTGCCAGCTGTCCACACAATGAGCTGCTACGGCTGTAGCCGTCGATACGGACTCTTCTGCAAGGAGGTGAGAATGGGTAGCCAGGCTAGTTTCTGTTTTGTTGCTAATCCCAATTGCATTATTGCAGTACGGCTGCCCCAACTGCGGCTATTCGTACTGTGCCAAATGCCTGAAGCGCCCAGTTGCAGTGCCGCGCCACGGCAACAAGGTGCTCAACGTGTGCCTCATCTGCTACGACAAGGTGTCCAAGATGCAGGCCAATGCCGAGGCCGAGAAGGTGATCGATTGCGAGGCTCTGCCCGGGGAGCTGGTGACCAAGCAGCGTCTGCCGCACAAGAACCACAACCCGCCGGACAGCGAGGCGGCCGATGCGCTCTTCGAGTGAGTAGAGCCCCCCAAGTAGCAGAAGTCCATGTCTCGAGTCCGCTAATTGTATTTCTGACTGCAGCAATCTGTTGCCCTCGGTGGAGCTGGCCGCTGTGCTCTCGCCCAGCAGCCCTGCGTGCGTTGGCGAGGCGGCCGCAGCTCTAGCTCCAGCACCGGCCACGGGCACCGAGGATATAGATGAGAACCTAGACCGTGCAATTAGCAAGCGCTTGCAGAATCTCAAGGCAGTCGAGACGAATGACGATGAGATACGTGCGCGTCTGTCCAATCTGAGCGGCATGCCGCACCAGAAGAACTACGATAAGAAGGACCTGCTGCTGTCCACCGACCAAAGAACCGATCAGGATAGGATCAAAGATCTGCTACAGCAATTCATGGGCGAAACGGCGCTGGATCAGCGTGTGGAGGCCGATCGCAGCGATGCCATCAGCGACATTGAGAAACGTCTGCGTGCGCTGCGCGATGCGCCCATTGATGGTGTCCCAGCGGCAGCAGGGACGGGCACCAGCATAGCGGCCACGAATACGCCCAGCGACAACGAGGACGAGAACGATGAGACGGTGCTCCAGAAGATCATGAAGAAGGTGCGCGCGACTTGGCTTTAGCTTGAGCAATTATGTCCAATTCAAGTTACCGTTTCCATTTCCTTTGCAGTACGTGGCTGAGGCGCGCCTGCCCCCGGCTGCCAATGCCCTGGAGTCGGAGCTGTCGACGGCCAGCAATGCGGCCATCAACGAGGAGCTGCCCTGGTGCAATATCTGTGACGAGGATGCCGTCTACCGCTGCCGTGGCTGCGACGGCGAGCTCTTCTGTGCCCCGTGCTATCGCGAGTGCCACGACGACGACGAGGATTACCGGGCACACCACAAGGAGAAGTACAGTGCTCCGCCCAAGTTCAAGGAGAATCACTTCTAATGGCTGCTTTTGCTTATGTTGATTACTCATTACTCATTAATATACTTTATTCCTCGCCTTCTCCTCTTTGTTGTTCCCGCGGTCCCCCTCTTCAAGTAGTTCTGGATCAGTGTAGTTCAATTGTGTATATAATGCGAATGTATTAAAACTCCATATTTTATAGAGAGCCATTGGTTTAAATTACGRCTTAGACAGAGACAGAGACAGACAGAGTGTGCGAGTTAGAGCGAGACATACACAATATGGAATATGGAACTGGAAATGCAATATCTTAAGGCAATTGATGGTAAACAAACATGTGTGTATATATAATCATTACATTCCTAGTAATTATAA